ACACACACACACACACACACACACACACACACACACGGATTCAGCCTAGGAGCTGAGAGGCTAAGCCAAATTCAAACCAGTTTAAGAATTGTCTTGAAATAGCGTATCTGCTGTTGGCCTACGTGTTCATAGTTACACATACGTTTTTAAGTAATTCCAGTAAAAATAAAGCACTACAGGAAACCTCAAGAAACTAGGATAGCCAGGGGGAAAACGAGTGTTTCAGAAAATGAAGGGTTAGCAGAACATCCTTTTTCTTTCAATTACTACTGAAAATCTTTCTAAAAGGCAGTATACTTTCCTGCCTCCACATTAACAGAGATTAAAACTGCTTTTTCTCTGATGATTGAGAAACAGGTCTTCTTTAAGATCAATTATGACTATGTAAAGGAGAACGCTGGGAGAATGTAAGCACACAGGACTAGAAATCAGAAAATCTGGCTTTCTAATCCTGAGTCTGCCACAAACTCACGGAATAACCCTGGACTGACACCCCCTCCATGGGCCTCTTAATTCTTCAGCTATAAAGTGATGGGGTCTGACTAAACATCTGAGGCCTTCCGATTCCATAGAGAAAGGAGAATTAGGCTGGAGACACGAACACCCAGAAGAACCCTGGGGTTTAGCGAAGAAAGATGGAAGGTCTGGCTGCTTGTTCCACTTCATCCATTCATTTCCTAAATATGGAAGGGGGAGAATGCCCACGAATTGAAGGCTCTGCTTAGCTAATGAAGGCTCTTGCTGCAGTTTCCACATGCTGTTTGGTTGGTTTTCTTATTCTCTCAGCCACATAAAAATACAGAGCCAAGACCTGGAGTCCAAATGCTTGGTTTTCAAGTCCCAACTCGGACATTTATCAATTAATTGTGTGGCTCTGGACAAGCCATTTAGCCTGGTTGGGCCAATATGATAAGAATGACAATGCTACCTAAATTAACGTACTTATCCAGTGCTGTATCAGATGTAACTCACAAAAGAATATTTTACAGGGCTAGAAAAAATAATCGCAAAATTCATCTGAAGGAACAAAAAATCTCAGAAGTAATAATGAAAAAAGGGGGGCAAGAAGGGGGACCACCAGTACCAGATCTCAAACATATTGCAAAGCAGTCATCATTAAAATTATTAGGTATAAGTTAAAAAGACAGAGAGAGAGAGAGAGAGAGAGAGCAATCAGTAGAACAGATGAAGTACACCACACACAGAAGACAACAAACACAGAAACACTGTGTTTGACAAACCCAAAGACTCCAGTCACTACTTGACCAAAACTACTGGGAAAACTGGACAGCAGCCTGGCAGAAATTAGTTTTAGACCAACCCCTCACACCACATACCAAGATGAGCTCCAGATGAATCCATGACTTAGATATAAAAAGTCACATCATAAACAAGTTAGAAGAGCAAGAAATTAACTCTCAGACCTAGAGAGAGGGGAAGACTTCCTGACTAACAAAGTGATAGAGAAGATTACCCAAAATAAACTGGACATAAAATACACAAATTTTTGCACAAACAAACCTAATATCATGAAGATTAAAAGCAAAACAAGTAAATGGGAAAAAATCTTTGCCACAAGTTTCTGCTAAAGGTCTCATTGAAGATATATGAGAAACTGATCCAAATTATTAGACTAAGAGCCATTCCCCAATCAATAAATGGCCAAAGGATATGAACAGGCAGTTTTCAAAGGAGAAATTCATGTTATCAACAATCAAATGAAAAAATGCTCTAAATCACTAATTAGAGAAATATAAACTAAAGTAACTTTGAGGTTCCACATCACTCCTATCAGACAGATGGGCAAGAGAGGAAATGATCAATGTTACAGGGGACAGAGGAAAACAAGGAGACTAGTGTACTGTTGGTAGGGCTATGAAGTGATCCAGGCATTCAGGAAAGCAATGTGGAATTCTGCCCCATGTTACCAAATTGTGAATGCCCTTTGACACAGCTAAACCACTACTGGCCTATACTACAAAGAAATCAAAGGAAGATTAAAAGAATATGTGCATATGTATGTGTGTATATGCGTACGTATGTATGTATATGTGTGTGATGTGTGGATGAATGGATATATGGATATATGTATGTATGTATATATAATATATACACGTATGTATATGTATACGTCTATGTGTATATATATATAAATGATGCAGAACGATGTGAACAGAACTAGAACAATGACAAGACTGTGGAAGAAAAATAACTTTGAAAAACTTCAGAATTTTATCAGTAAAAACAATATTCCAAGAAAATAAAATTAAAACATACCACACACCTCCTGATAGAAAGTGACAAACTTAAAACGGAGAGACAGAGAGGGAGAGGTAGAAAGTGACACATGTTCAGACATGGCTAACGTGGGAACTTGTTTTGTCTAACTACGTAGAAGTGTTAAAGAAATTTTTTTCAGTTTTGTTATTATGTTTTGTTTTTTAATTTGTTCAATGGGGGGGGTAGTGGGAGAGACAAGTTAATTTTTAAAATACCTGTTACCTGAAAAGTGAAAATAATAAGCTTACTTTTAAAAAGGAAGTCACGTAGCTATTCTAAACCTCAGTTTCCTCACCTATAAAAATGGGGGAAATTCCTGCACTTACTACCTAATAAGGTTGTCCTAAGGAAAGTGCTTAGTAAACTTTAAAGTACCACAGACATAAGAATTATCAGTATCATCACCATCACTCTGCTGCACACTGCCCTACTTGGCACAAATTTAGTCTTGTTGTATTTCAGCAGTGAAAAACAACAAAGAAAAAAATGAACTCAGTTCTTGTCCTCAAGATGCTCACATTCTATCGAGGAGAGATACACACGTAGAAATGAATGCGAGATACTTGACTGGAGGCAGACGGAGCAGCTCAGATGGTCCAGAAAGGCTGTGTGGCTAGTGACTCTTAGGCTGTCATGCGGTAAACAAGAGAGATTCCCAGAGGCAGAGCAACCAGTGATACCTAAGGCACTTTCTTTCTTACAGGAATGTTTTAGCTCACACAAAAGGAAAGCACCAGGTCTAACGAGGGCCAGCCCACCAGGCTGCCAGGGCCCGGGCAAGCAAAGGCAAGGAAATGGAATGGAAAAGTGCTTACTGTGTGCAAAGCACTGAGGATACAGAGCACAGACTCGGCCCTCTGAGCACTCCCACTCTAATCACAAAAGGAAAAGGTGAGAATGGAGTACGTTCCAGGCATGGGGAACGGCAAGAAATGGAGTACTACAAGTGAAAGACAGACGCTTGGCTGTACATTGAAGTTTACAAAGAAGAGTAACCAATAAGAAGCCTGATCAAAGCCAGGCTGGGAAGGATTTCAGACGTCAAACAAACGAGTTTGTTCCTCAAAATACAGAGCATCGAGAATGCAGTCACACATGTGCTTTAAGAAAATCAGGCTGGCAGCCCTACAGAGGATGGATTGAGTCGGAAAGATAACTAAGGCAGAGACCTGAGGAGATGAGGACCAGAACCAAAGCAGGGACATTTTAGAGGTGAAAGCCACGAGAGCTGTCCTCAGACTGGCTCTCTGGAGAATCATCTGGCCTTGACATGAACACAGAGAAGGCTACAAAGGGAACGTGTCTGGGAGAGCGAAGGAGAGGTGAGGGCTAAGGAGTTCTGTTCGGACAGTCGGGGCCTGCAGTGTCGATGGAACATACAGCAGGTCAGACCAAATTAGAGCTCAGGAAAGTCTTGAGCTATAGATACAGATCTGGGAACCTTCTCCAGAGACAACAGAATCTCTGTCATGGAGTGGCACCATCTCCAATCACAGCTGCTGCTGAGACCAGCACAGTGCCCGGCACATCACAGGCAGTTACTAAATGCTTGTTGACTGAGTGGAAGAACAAGAGACCTAGAGGAATACCTAGGCTCCAACCTCTGCTCCTAATTACCTAAAGCATTACCTTGGCCAAGTCTCCAGGTCTAGGTTTCTTCCTCTGTAAAAGGATGGAACCAGACACAATTTTGGAAGGTCCTTCCTGTTCTCATCCTGTGATCCCTAGAATTTATAAAGCACATCACAAAATGTAGACCCTTCCAAGTTTCAAACTGACTACTGTGTGCTGATAGTAGGCCCTTTGTTAATATATTAGCATCTAACAAACTGAAAAGGTCAGAAGCTCCTTCTTTAACTTCTAGAAGGTGTCCTTAGATTTCAAAGAAATGTTTTCAAATGGAGTCCCAGAAGCAGCCTCGCTTAGGGGCAGGAGAGCTGCCTTGTGGCAGATGAGCTGGGTTTAAGTGCACTGCTGACACGGTGACTATGGGAGCCTGCAAAGTCCCCTAAATGCTCTGTGAAATCACAGCTCGGAATTTGTTTTCAAAAGATAATTTGTTAAAATAAGAGTAGAGTGAATACTTTAAGAATGATTTAGGGGCAGTTAGGTGGCCCAGTGGATAGAGCACTGGCCCTGAAGTCAGGAGGACCTGAGTTCAAATCCGGCCTCAGATACATAACACTCACGAGCTGTGCAACCCTGGGCAAGTCACTTAACCCCAACTGCCCTCACCAAAAAAAAAAAAAAAAAGAATGATTTAGAACACTTTAAAAACATATCCCATAAAGGATATAAATCCTTTACCTACACACCTGCCATAATACATATGCTCTGTACCAGTGTGAGGAGCAGCAAATGACCCTACGGTTTCTAGAAAGTCTATGATCAGCCTCCTGAAAAAGGTGTAGCAATGTTCAATTTTTTGTATCACCTGTCACCCTTTCCACCAAAGAAAAAACCCAAAGCGTGAGGCTTCCACCAGTATACAATGTTTTTAAATGGGATTCTTACTCTCGAGCGGGAAGGGACCTCAGAAGTCACTTAGGGGGCAGCTAGGTGGCACAGTGGATAGAGCTCCAGCCTTGGAGTTTGGAGGACCTGAGTTCAAATCCAGCCTCAGACACTTGACATTTAATAGCTGCTGTGTGACCCTGAGCAAGTCACTTAACCCCGATTGCCTCATCAAAAAGGGGAAAAAAAGTCACCTAGTCTAACCCCCTTATTTTACAGATGAGGAAACTGAGGCCCAGGGAGGCTGCATAATTTGTCAAGTCCTCTGACTCCATACCTGGTGCTCTCTATTCTAAAAAGTATTTAAATTATTGCTTGGTAAGTTGTTTTTTTAATCAACACAATCCCTATTTCCCCTTATTTTTATAGACTTTTTAAAAAAATCAAGTACTTGCCATGGTCTAATTCTTCTAAAATAACAACAGCCAACACTGATACAAAGTGCTTTCTTTCTTGGTTTGATATTGGAAGGCGCCTGAGTTTACGATGTCAAATACGAAAACAATCATGAAAAGAAATGCCAAGTGAGGCTATGTTTCCTTTCCTAAGGAGTCATGTTAAAAACGGGAACTTTGAGAGATATCTGTCATAGGACAAAACTGGTTTCATGAAACAATGCATAAGTGTGGAAACATTCCTGGAATTCGAAGGGAGAAGGCCCGAACCTATGATTTCACTGGTGTAAAGCCCTCCCAAATAAGAAACCTCTCTTGACCAATGCAGTTAGCTCCTTCTCTGCAACTGAGGAGTCTTGAAGAGCTTCCTAGAGCAGAGGTGGGGAACCTGAGGTCTGGAGGCCACATGTGGCCCCTCTAGGTCCTCAAGTGCGGCCCTTTGACTGAATCCAAACTTCACAAAACGAATGCTCTTAATAAAAGGATTTGTTCTGTAAAACTTGGACTCAGTCAAAAGGCCACATGTGGCCTCAAGGAAGTAAGGCCATGCGCCCCCCCCCCCCCCCCCCCCGGTCTAGAGCAATGAGATAAGGTCATACAGCCGAGATGTCTCAGAGTCAGGACTTGAACCCAGCTCTTCATGGTTGTACTACACATCTACCCACAAGAGCAGAGGTGTCAAACACAACGACTGAGCCTGAGGCACAGCTGCCAAACCAGAACAAAACGTAACTGGGAAATATTTAACAAAATAAATAAAAATACAATAAAGCACATATAATGTTAATATGTGGCTTGCTAAGTCAATATGCAGTTAGGTGGTAGTCCCCATTCCCCTGCTGGAGTCTCACACCACTATCCTATACTATACTATAGTTCATCATTTTGGGACTTTCCCCCCCCCCCATTATCATACATTCAAAAGAAAAGGCAATGTGGCACTTGGAGTCAGGAAGATGTTGGTTCAAATCTCACCTATTACAGGGGCAGCTAGGTGGCACGGTGGATAGAGCTCCAGCCTTGGAGTCAGAAGGACCTGAGTTCAAATCTCGTCTCAGACACATAACACTTACTAGCTGTGTGACCCTGGGCAAGTCACTTAACCCCAACTGCCTCACCAAAAAGCAAAAAAAAAAACCAAAACAACAAAACTCAACTATTACAGACAGCCAACCTGAGACCCTGGGCAAATGATTTAACCTCTCGGTGCCTCAGATAATTCTCTAAAATCGCAGACTGGGAACATAGCTAAAATTCTGAAACAGATTTTAAAAACCACAGTTCTTCCTTTCATTATTTCATCCATTAAAAGGGACTCCGTAAAAAAGGCCTCTCCCAGTGGAAGGAAGCAGGAGGCCTGCCCAGGCCCCACTTAGCCATTGCTTCTCCTTTCTACTACAGTTTCCATATAACTCCTCAGACCAAACAGAAGGACCTGAAATTTGTTGGCTTTAGACAAGTTTTCCCACCCAGACTCCTCACTTTTGAGTCTAGAACGTTCACAAATGGAACCTGTGGAAGCTTCTACATGTTATGTTAAAAATTGGGGGGTGGGGGGGATTAGTACTTTTATGATTCCCTTGAGCTCTCTTTTCAAAAAAAGGAAACACGTACTCAAAATCTTTTGAAGATTTTCTCCAAGTGAAGTTCATATTCTTTCGGTCATGTAAAAAAAACCTGATAGAACACCAAATTCCCTACCACGCTTTTGGTTCAGTCCCTTGAGGCAGAGAGATCCAGGTTAAAAATAATTTAAGTTTCACCGTTCCCAGGGCAGGTTTAATAAAAGTTGAGTAACAGTTAGCAGACTCCAGGTAGCAGGACCATGGTTGAGATGAGAAGGGGCCTCAGTTCAATCAATGTTCCTGGGGGGAAAGAGGAGCCTTGCCCAAGGTGACACACAGGTTGGTACCAGATGGCAGAGTCTGGTTTTCAAAGGGCCTGGATTCCAAACCCTGCCCTCTTCCCCAGATGAGTTAGGCCTGTAATGACTAGCCTGGGGCCTTCAGCATATCCCCTCCTCCATCTTTCCACCCTAATATGGCCAAAAGCATCTGCTTCAAACTTTCTAGTCCAATGGGGTGGAAATGTCTGCAAAGGAGGGAGGACCTTTAAAGGGGATCACCTCATGGTGGGATCACTCACTACTGCACTCTTGGTGCCCAAAAGGGTGGGGTAAACAGGACTGGCAGAAATCAAGCTTAGACAGGAAACCCCAACTCCACCCGCCCCAAAGAGGGCTGTCTCCTGGTTACCAGGCAGGGGGCACAGGGGAAGGATGCCCCCTCCCCCACACTGCTCTGG